GCATACTGTTTACTTGTTTCTTAGCTTTAGTAGCTGCGTTTTGTGCTTCTTCTAATTCTGTTTCATATTTTGCTTTCAATTTAGCAATAGAAGCTCCAGTAGCACCAGCGTCTGCCAATTTAGCTTCTGAATCGGTGACTTTAACTCTAAGTTTTTGAGTTTCTTTGTCGTTTTATTGTTTCATTGCTCTCTCCTTCTCAAGTTCCTTCTGTAAATCAGCCTTTCGAGCAGCATCTGCGCTGTCAGCTTTCTTGATCAAGTTGAGTTTGAATTTCAGCAATTCTTGCATTCAACATGTTCTTCTCTACTTCTTGAGCAACAGAAGCTGGTGCACTGACTTGGACTTTAAGTGATGAAACTTATACATTGAGTGCTTTGACTTGGTCTTCCATCTTTTTTCTTCTATCAGATTGGTCCGCAGCGGTTTTTTCAGCTTCAGTTTTGTCGTCCAATGCCATCTTCTTTTGTGCTTCAAGTGCATTAATTTGTGATTCATAATCCCCAATCTTAGAAGCGTCTTCAACCGATTGCTTTTTCATATCTTAAAAGCAGCATCAAGTTGAGTGTTCTGATCTTTCAACGCAGCAACTGCCTTCTCCAAATCAGCAATTTGGTTGTCTCTCTTGTTGACCTCTGTTTGATCGATATTTGAAGTCCCAACTGGTCTATATTCAAGGTCTTGCAATTTTTGTTCCAAATGTGCTATTTTCTTCTTGTCTTTAGCTGTTTTGTCTCTTAATTCGTCAACTCAGTGTTGTTTGCTTCTAAGTCTCTTTGTAACTTTTTGATCGAACCATTCAGATTGTTGGTCTCATCTTCATGTCCAGAGACCAAGTCATTAAGTTGGTCATATTCGTCTTGAAGCTTCTTCTTTTCAGAAGAAAGTTGGTCTTTGTCATTCGCCAATTTCTTCATGTTCTCTTTAATTTCGTCGTTTTCTGCTTTCAACTTCTTTGCCTCCTTTTCTTTGGCAAATTTGTCCTTCTTGACTGTTTCAAGCTCTTCATTGGCTTCAGCGACTTCTTGTTCTCTTCTTGTAATAACATCAGAAAGTTCGTCGACTTTGGCACTCAATTCCTCAATCTTCTTATTGCTCTCATTAACAGTTCCATTGAGTTTTTTCTTATCAGCGGCATCGGTGTCGGCATACTTCTTGAGGTAGTCAATATTCTGTTGGAGTTGGTCGAGTTCGGTTTTAGTTCTTCCCAAGTCGTTCTTAGTAATTCTCAACTTCTCAATTACGGCTTCAACTTCTTCATTAAGAGCAGCTTTTTCTCTTTCAGCGTCTTCCAATTTGGCATCAACAACGGATTTGGCCTTAGTCAAATTGTCATTGTCAGCATTCAATTGAGCCAGTTGCTTAACTTGAGCATTTTTTTCTATTCATGTTCTCGGCACCAGCCTCAAGCTTGTCTTTGTTATCAGCAGTTTAGGCAAGTTGTTCATTCAAGTTATGAATTTCAACGTCTTTTTGATTTAAATTCGATTTTCAGTCTTCTCCATAACATCTTTACAATTTTTTCCGATGTCATCCTTCAACACTTGGATTTGAGCTTCGT